TTTGGAAGATTATCAGAACCTCAGTAGGAGCGAAGATAAAACAGGATGGTTAAGGTGAATTGGGAAAGGAAGAGCGATGCTAAAGGTTGAACTACTGGCTTAGTGGCGCCGTGATGGCCAGCCAGACATCCAGGAGAAGTGCCGCATGGGCCCACGAGGGAAACACGCCATCGAAGGAGAAAGTGGGCAGCGTAAGGAGTAGAATGGATGTGCCGGTGGAGATGGTGATGGAGGAGGGGGGGGTGTAGAAGGAAGACAAGCTGACGAACTAACTAATACATAGAGGGGGAACTACGATAGGATCGCCTTTCATATAGCTCTATAAAGTATCACCATAACTAAGCGTATATACCTACTGGTTAGTAGTGGTACTACTAACATAGCCTGTCTATAGCAGATACAGAATTACCCCAAGGTGTGTACATACTCGTTTCGCGAAGTATGTCTCGGTATCTGGTCGTACAGAGATGCAAGCAAGGATTGATCTCGGTACCACCTCGTTAAAGAGCAAGTACAGAGAGTATCTGAAGCATTGCTGCTCTTGCGGTGATTTGGAATGGCTCACCGGGCCACTGAGAGTAACCCTCTCTCCAAAAATATTTGTTATATTTGATCATAAAGTATATGATCGATTTCTTCCTCCGCTTCGTTAACTCTCCGTGCTTTCTAGAACAAAAGAATATATTCATTGGAGCTTTGATCGTCGGCCAATATGCAGTGTTATCCGTTCTCCCTAAGAGATCACTCACAAAGATCCCTTGCACACCATCCCCCGCACACACCCACGACATTTCCCGAACAGCCAGGACTGACCTGTCAACTTACTATCTGACATCTTCTCAGAATATGGCATAGCCGAGCACGTTGACAACTAGCCCCATGGACTCAGAGGGGAAAATCTACCTAATTCCATATCCTAGACGTGGCTTTGTCTCGTGGCCGCCACGTTTTTGATGGACTGCATAAGGGGAGTCTTGTGTGCCCATAGGGAATTGAGGGCTTCTCTCCCGAGTCCACCAGAAGGAGGTATGGTCGAACATGATTGCTCTGTCTCCGTTCACAGGATTCTGTTCCCCGAAGGTCTACCGTCGTAGGACAAAGTACTCTCCCAACTCCCACGGCGAATTTTCCATTGGACCAGGCTGGGGTAATGCCAGCCGAAATGGAGGTGGGATATCCCTGTCGGTTACTAAAACATATCTTGCAGATCATTAGAACTGGCTCGCTATCCTTCTTCATTTCTTTTTTTATACTTGTACTAGTCACAGTGACTACGGTACATACTCGGCTAACAGTTACCGAGAGGGAGGAGGAGAGGGAGAGAAAGAGGTACGAATAGATGAAAATCCGTGATGTATATTAAATTATATTTATTATTATTTTAATCTCGAGCATGGTCACATATAGATAGAAAAGAAACCTTAACAAACTATGGATAGGCATAACACCGTGCCCTAATCCTTCTCCAATCCCGCATCCCCAGACGTGGATAACCCCTACACAGAAATTCAAAAAGAAACCAAACACCACCAGAAGATTGTCACTAGGGAATAATATTACGATTAAATAATGAAAAATAATAATAGAAGGAACGCATAGCTCCAGGGATCCGCTCTGGGATTGGAGCGGGGCCCGAAAATCCCCACCACCAAAGCGCCTTAGCTCTTGAGCCCATCAATGGTAGTGGATCCGCCATCTCACTCCTCATCCAGTTTCGTCTCGCCAACGGTGCAGATCCTATTTTATCTAATTTGGCACTCCAAGCTCTGGACTAGACTAATTACTTTCGCGACGCCCACAGACGCAGGGGACCAGACAAATAAGGCTGCTTCTCCGACGCGAAGCGTCTTGGCTCTCCAGATGTCTCCAGTCCCGATTGACGATGGGTTTGAGAAAAGCGCGAGAGGGTTTGATGCTGATCATTCCGGTGTCATCTGGTGAATCGCAATTTAAAATCCTTCTTTTCGGGCTTAGTATCTTACGGAGAGGGGGGCCATTGGGGGGGTCTATATTTAAACCCACTAGCTTTATGCATTGATATGCATAGTGAGAGTGGAAGTTCATGGACATGGGGCTTCGTGTTACATTTCTGACGTCTCATAAGCCTCCTGAATCTCAGCCGCTGGGGAAGAAAGATATGTAAAAGAGAGAAGGAAAAAAAAAAAAAAAAAAAAAAGAGAGAGAGAGAGAGAGAGAGAGAGAAGCAGTGACTTGTACAACGTAAGATTTGCATTCTTTTCTGAGGCTAGTAATTCTTCCTATTCTAGTCGATTCTTCCTGACTTTCTAGAATTCGGTTCCCTGCATGCAGCTCACCTGCAGTAACCCTGTAAGGGGGTTTTCGACGCCGATTGAACACTTCCGATCTGGTCTGGCCGGGCTGGATGAATGAACACCTCAGACATCTGACTAACTAACATTACAATCTACTCTCCTATCGACTAGCTTGCGAGGTGTATCCTTGATCTCAACCCAACCTTCTCGTTTGTCCTTTTTTTTTTTTTTTTTTTTTTTTTTTGCTTTTTCTCCCGTTTGCCTTCGGAAAAGGAACCCAGAATACCGGACTAAAGAAACCCCACACCAAACCGAACAAACCAGACTCTCTCTCTCTCTCTCTCTCTCCAGAAGGAAAAGAGACCTATCAAACCAGAAGTTACTCTGTAAGTTAATTTAGTTCAAACTCTAGCCTTAAACTTGGTCTCTGCATCATAGTCAATTATTGACCAATAAGAATTGGAGATTTTGGCTCTAGGTTTACCTTTTGAGTTGGGGATACTAGGTATGTGATATATCTCCTACATGATTCAGCCGTGGTATATGCGAAGTACGTAGTCACTTTTTGGATGTACAATGAAGAGATACTTTCCAATCCTAAGAACTAAAGCAAGGACGAGTACGTGGCCTGGCAATGTTTAGTCACATGTAAGTACTAGACCGCTCCATGAGCGAACACTCCGATACCCAGCGTACTTTTAGTGTTCATACTCTCAGATCGATAGATCAATCATGAGTCATGACAATAGACCATATCATACATTTCTCCATCAAACAAAGTGCTTCAACAGCAGCTTCTCAATAGAGCCCCAGGTGAGGTGACTCTCGTGTGCGGTCCAAGACGCCCCGTTATAATAAGCCCTTTTCGCGTCTTTGTTGCGCATGAAGGTGGAATTGCCGTTTAATAAATACCCAACTCAGGTCTGGCACACTGGTGTTGACTAAGTTATACACACCTGGAAGGATGGGGAGGTTATAAGGCGTGCCGTATGCACGATGCTCGATAGATTGCGCATTATGGTACATAATTTTCACTTAAATACCAATATGTGCCGGTAAACTGTGCAAAGATTTCCCTTTCGTTTCTATCAAGGCTGAACGGTATAAGCTTCTCGATTGTCTTTGGGACTGCTATGAGGATTTTCTTTGCGTGGATCGGCTTCTGTCCCGACGGGGTTTGGACCAAGATACAACTGGAATTGTCCATCTCGCTGAGTCCACGCATGGCGCTGATGGCGTCAACAGAGAGCATCTTTAACATGTATAGCGTCAGCTTCAGGAGGGGTCATCGTTCGGGATAGTGTTTGGTTTTACGGCGATGGGTTCTCCGGTCACTAAATCGACATTCTCAGACTGGTTCGTAACGGAGATCTTGTTTATCAAAAAGTTGTTGAAGTGGGAGAAGAAGTCCATCACCACGCCTTTTTTTCTTCTTCTTTTTTTTTGTAAAAGCTCATCACACCGTAATGGCATTTAAATTCTAGTAGCAGTGTCAAAGCAATTATTTGCATGACCTCCAAGCCTATCCTGTTTCTCGATAACGAAACTCTTGCCCAATTGTCGCAGGCGGATAGTGTCATCCGTGCCTGCTGATCCACCTCCTATGATGGCTACATCACGCTCGAGGATACCAAGCTGGTCAAATGAAAGGGGGTCGTGCTATGAATCAGACTGAGTAACATCAGTCACTCTGCCAAGCAGGCACATAGCGGCGATTGATGCAAACGCTTGAACGATGACGCGCATGATATACTTGAACCATTCCACAGAGCCACGTGTGGGTCGGGGTGCCTGTCGAGCGACTGGGGCTGACATGGTCTTTATAGACCCAGGGTAGTACCTCCAGCTCACATCGATTCTGCATGAAGCAACGAGGAGACATCTGGTTGAGACTTGAGTAAGTATGGTAACGGGAAACTAATACTTCACCTAAAAAACTAAAGAGACCATTCGGAGAATTTTGAACACTTACTTTTCTTCTCCTCATCCTTCAGCTCGTGTATTTGATTTCTGTTATTGTCCAACCTACTAATGTTGCATCGGTTTCAATTCGTTGGCTTGGCTCGAAACTTGAAGTCCGAACGCCAAAACTCGGGGGCAACAAGCCCTCAAATGATCTTCGGAGACTGGCAGTACGGAGAATAATGAAATGCCCATCAAAGTAGGTATATTTCCAGAAAGCACGTCTAAATCCCTTGGACGCCAAAAAAAAGCCCTAATAAAATCCCGATATCTTAAAGCAAGACTAAAAATTGGTCATACCCAACTGCCCTATCCAATTGCTCCCCATCGTGAAATTGCCTCGTCTGTCTTACGCACCTTGTCCAGCGCCTGAAGCCCCAAAAACGCTATCTGTCCATTTACCACCGTCTTCCGAAGACCGAATCTTCACCTCTGGATCCTCCCCGTTTCTCTGGCTGCCGGTTTCGATCGCGTGAGCTGGAGTGTGATGACTGTGTCCTCGGTCCGTCAGAAGACTGGGAATTTGAATAGTTGTTTTCATCGGCAGCGTTCAACAACCGTGTGGATTGTGTAAGGTCGATGTTGCCACGCTCCCCTGTGAAGCGTGATTCCGCATCCCGACCGAAGAGGGCCATCATGTCGTTCATGGTAAGCTTGGCCGCAGCAGTCTTGCCCTCGATGGTGACATTAGCGAGCTCGCGCTTGCGCTCTTGAAGGCCAATGATTCTCTCTTCAACAGTATCCTTTATGATAAGTTTGTAGATTTTGACATCGACAGTTTGGTTTAGCCGATGGACACGATCAATAGCTTGTTCCTCAACGAACTAAACAAATCCGAGTCAGTCACAACTGTGGGCATAAAACTGTCAGAATTAGGTGAAGAACATACAGGATTCCAAAACGGCTCCAAGATAACCACCCGACTGGCCGCGGTAAGGTTCAGCCCCAGTGCACCAGCTCGCAAACTACAAAGTAAGACTCTTGTCCCACTATTGTTCCTCAATTTGTTTAAGCTGGCCTCTCGGAAGTCGTTTCGCATGCCACCATCATAACGTGCAAATCCAATGCCCGCGCGCTGAAGGAACGGTTCAATCTTGTCCAGCATTGACGTAAATACCGAGAATACGATGAATTTGTGGTCTGCAGACTCTCGCCTGAGAATTTTCATGAGATGTCGGATCTTCGTTGAAGGAAGCACCTGATTGTCTTCATCGCCAGGATTAAGATAGATGTCGTCTTCGTCTGATTCATTAACCTGTTTTCTGGCACCCATACGGTTGCGTGTTGGCGACTCAGGACCACCTTCATCGTCCGAGTCAGTCTCAGAGTCTTCTGAGCCGAGCCAATCGCCACCTCCTTCCGCATCTTCATCATCCGACGCTCCAGCCTTTCCAAGATCTGGTACCGTACGCTGGTCTTCGGGAACGAGCCACTCGCCATCGTCTTCTTCATCGTCGCTATCGACAACTACCTTTCTATTTCTTCGGGACCGTGCAAGCTGAGCCTCTGATGGCCGGTTGGAGGGTGATTCCGTAAGGTCAACAATGTCTTGCTCTGGATAACGCTTTTCCTTGCCGCTGCGATTACCGGCGAAAGTAACGTTCAGATCTGTCTCACAATCACCGCATCTGCTAGCACCAGCTTTCGTCTCTTTCTGGCTTAACTCAGCCTGGCAGATGTCGCATTTCTTCGAGACAACACTGAGAGCACCGAAGAGATCCGCCATACTGTCTAGATCATCTTGTTTCCCGGCTGCAGGTTGACTTCCTGAGGTACCATTCTGGAGGAGAATATCTTTATCTTTAGCAAGGTCACTTTTCACCAAGTCTGGATGGTTACAGGATTGTCGGAGACGCAACAACAGTACCAATGCACCAGCGTAGTCAAGTTTGGAGCCACCCATCATCTTTTCAAGGCTATTGTCGGTTCGCTGCTCGAGGCGCTTGTAGAAGTTCAGCTCACCCGGTGTGAACTCTGCTGAAACCTTGATCACCTCTCGCTTGACGATTTGGAAGCCAGATGGCTTTTTCTGCTTTCCGTCGGAAACTGCTTCGTTAGGTTTGAGGTTGCTATTGAGCTTCAAGACATCCTTGGTGCGCCGCTTCATGAAAGCCTTCAGAACGACTTGTAAACGCTCGATTGCAAGAGCCCCGCGCCCATTGGCTAGAGGTTTAGTGATTTGTTCTTTCCAGGCTGCTAGATCGTTATAGGGTTTGATCCGGAGGAATTTGATCAAACTTTGCAACTCATCAAGATTGTTTTGCATTGGAGTTCCGGTCAAGCACCATCGATACTCGGCATCTAAAGCGCAAGCAGATTGGGTTGCTTTTGCATTCCGGTTCTTGATAGTGTGGGCTTCATCCAAGATGATTCGGTACCAGTACACGGAAAAGATGCCCGACTTCTTGTTTCTCTTGTCGATGGCACCGTGCTCAGATGTCAGAGTGCCATACGTCGTAATAACAACATCGTAATCTTCAAGATTGTCTGTCGCTTTTGTTCTAGTATTCCCATGGTAAACACATACACGAAGTCTATGGGAAGCCTCGACCTTGTCAGCGATTTCGGACTCCCACTGTTTGATTAATGCTAATGGAGCAACAACCAAAGTAGACTTGCTCAATCCGGGGGGTAGCTTCAAATCATCTTTACCTCCATCGCCTTCGGAGTCAATGCCACTATCATCGTCTTCCTCAGAATCAATGATGCGCCGGCGCCCGTCTTTAGGTTTCCGGTTTGTGAGCATCAGGGTTATAGCTTGAACGGTCTTCCCAAGACCCATGTCGTCTGAGAGAATTCCACCCTTTGGAAGTACACCCTTGGTCTTGCTGTTGCCAATTTCCTTGTCCCGCATCCAGTTCACTCCCTCTCGTTGATGGGGCAGTAACTTGACTTTCAAGCCCTCCACCGTGCCATCATCTTCGTCTTCCTCTTCTTCCTCCTCTTCCTCCTCCTCCGCATCTTCTTCTTCACCATCTTCGTTTTCGAGCTCAAATTCTCCGGTGATATCGTGTTCATCCCGAGAGCTTGTTTGTTCTTCAACTGCTTTCCGATCTGCAGTATCCTCGCTGGATCGATCGGCCTCGGTCTCCGCGCGGCTCACATGCGCGCTGGACTCATTAACAGTAACCCCTTGCAATTGAGCGGCTAGGTCATCTATCTCGGAGCTTTCTTTATTCTCGTTAATTTGCCTCTCGGCCTTCTTGCTTTTACCATTATTCTTCTTGTCCTTCTTTTTCTTCTTCTTGTTCTTTGCTTTGGAATCTTGCTTTTCATCTTCGTCTTCAAAGGCTCCCTCTAGAAGAGCTTTGATGTTTTCGTTTGCCTTAGCAGTGTCAACATAACCGTTCACATCCATCGATCCGAAACCGGCATTGCGTGACCGAGAGCTGGGCGTGAAGCCGCCCTCGCCAGTCAAATCGACGAAGTTCCGCAGGTTCTTCGATGCGTTTGACACCTTAACCGCGGATGCTTTCGAAGCGAAGAAGGTTTTGGGGGCCCGTGGTGTGTTAAAGGTGAAATTTTCCGGACGTTTGATTGCGACAACATCATTATCGACAGGGCGAGAAAACCGGGAATTATTGTAGGCCGACGGACGAACGGGCTTAAAAGGGTCGAAGGGCTCAGCGCGCTTGGGAGTTGAGACTGCAACACCTGGTGTCGTAGGGGGTCGGTAGCCATGGAAGGGTGCACCTGGTCGGTGCTGCTGTTGAGGTCTATGGTGCTCTGGCCGAGGCCTGTTCTGTTTAGGGATGTTGAAAGGGTGATTGGATTGATGGTTTTGAGGGCGCCCCCCGCCTAACGGTGATGGTTTTCCAAACTCTGGCTGATTGGAAATGTGACGGTGAGATTGTTCTGTCGGCTTCCCTGGGGTGATCGGATTCAACGGGTTTTCACTTTCTTTAGCCATCTTGAATAGCTGATGGAGGGGTTTCCTCTAAGGCGTCTAGGTAGGTAGGCTGTTGAGATAGTCTGAGGATATTATGCCGATATATGTGAGATGAGAAAATAAGATAGCCTGTTTCAGTGATGCCGGGTTTCCTCAAACATTTCTACCTCTGATCGTAGGGATGGCACAATAGTTAGCATGACTC